CTTGTCGACGCCCTTGCGAAACAGGCGATCGCAAGCACCAGCCGTGTTCCACAGATTTTCACTGTTTTAACGGACTGGATTTTAGACGGCAGCATCGAATGGCTATGGCTGCATGTTGCTGCCGCACGTGCTCGCTGGGCTTGGCCCACACCTCGGGGTGCTGCCTTCGTTGACTCCACAGGCGGCGATGTCATCGGTGCTGACTGGTGTCAGGCGGACAGCTTCTTCAAGGTTTCCCCGACTTCCTTGACAGATACTGCTGCCCCCTCGGCCGTCAAGTTCTGCTTCCGCCTCCTCACCATAAACGTCCAAACCCTAGATGATGGGCACGGTGATGCAGCCCCTGGACGTATCCGGTATGTCCGCGAACAACTTGAGTCCGTTGGTGCCGTTGTTACTGCCCTGCAAGAAACCCGAGCGAAGGAGACATCAACTAGCATTTCTGAGACGCACTTCAGGTTTATTTCAGCAGGGGATGCTAGGGGCAACGGAGGTGTTGAACTCTGGTTCAGTCGCACGCATCCATTTGCTTGGGTTGCTGATGTCCCTCTTTATTTTCACAGTCAGGACTTTCGAGCCCTTGCCTGGGACCCGCGGTACTTGCTGATCCGCTTTGCCCGGGGGGGAACTCGCATCACCTTTGCTGCCATCCACGCCTTGTCTGCTGTCCACCCTGATAGACTTGCCTGGTGGACGAATTTCCGCAGCAAGCTGCATTCCAGTGCACAAGGTGATCTTGTTGTCCTTGTTGGCGATTACAACACGAGGTTCTTTGAGGAACTGCCTGCTCGCATTGGCGACCTTGTATGGGACAGTGACCAGACTGTCCCGGGACCACTATTTGACATCCTGCAGAGGCATGATCTGTGGCTACCTGCCACTTATAGTGCCTGCCACAGTGGCGCCAGTCACACATGGGTGTCACCTACTGGCTCCGCTACCAGTCGCATAGATTACGTCGCCATTCCCGCTGCCTGGCATGCCGACCCTGCCAGCTCTTTTGTGCTGCACGACATAGATTTTGGCCAAACAGGACTTGACCATTTTGCTGCAGCTCTTGACTGTTACTTTGAAGTCTGTGACTCTCTGCGCGGTCGGCCTGGCCCACCCCAATGCGACGTTTTCTTGATGTCTCAGCCTGAGTCTAGTGAACAACTACGGGACATCTGCCAAGCTGCTCCTTTGCTTCCCTGGGGCCTCGATGTCCATGTTCACTATGAAATCCTTGCCAATTATTTCCGTGCCCGGCTGTCAGCCTCTTTTCCTTTACGTCGTGCGCGGTGCCGCCGCACTCATTTCTCCAGCACAACCTGGGACTTGCGGCAACAGAAAGTTTGGCTCCGCAAACGGCTCCACGCTTCGGCACATTGGGCTCGGACAGTTGAGCTACGCGGGGCCTTCCATGCTCTTCGATCCCGCTGCACGTTTGCTGGCTTACTACGGTCCCTTGTTTCCTCCCTTCTCACGTGTGTCCTTGAGATCCGCCAGCACCTGCAGGAGCTTCGGGCACTTAAGCCTCTTCTCAAGCGCTCGATTGTTGGTGATCGTAGTCGATACTTGCATGAGATTGCAATGTCGGCCTCTTCCGGTGCAGCTAAGGATGTTGTTGTCAAGCTCCGTCCTTTGCTTGGGCCTCCCAAGAAGAAGCAGAGGGGCACGCTTTCCCTCCCGGTTGTTGAGCTTGAGGACGGATCCGTTGCCGGGGACCACTCTCAAGCTACCGATCGGTGGATCCGACATTTTAGTCAGCTTGAGGATGGAGGGCCCACCACCCCGGAGGCCCTCCTTAGACAGTGTCGACATCGTCAGACCACTCAGGATCTGTCTGATCTCACTCTTGATCATCAGATTGTTCCCTCGCGTTGCCTCTTTGAGGATTGCTTGAGGCGGTCTCCCACTGGCAAATCACAAGGGAACGATTGCATTCCCGCTGATCTTCTCCACTTGCAGGCCAGCTCCATATCTCTCCCTCTGTACCAAGTTGCCCTCAAGGCATCGTATCGCCTTGCTGAGCCGGTTCACTGGAAGGGAGGTTCCCTCTTTGCCATTTGGAAACGCAAAGGTTCCATGCGGCAATGTGAGTCCTTCAGAGGGATTTTGGTTTCCAGCGCGCCGGGAAAGGCTTTCCACAGCGCGCTTCGCCGCAAAGCCGCCCCTTTTCTTGATTCTGTTGCTGGCAGCCTTCAAATCGGCGGCAGACCTGGTTATCCGGTCCAGTTGGCAAACCACACTGTACGCTCCTTTCAGGGCTATTGTCAGGATAGGGGGTTTTCTAGCGCAGTTGTGTTTTTGGACCTCAAGGAGGCCTTCCATCGGGTTGTCAGACCACTGCTGACGGGAGGCCCTCTCGATGATGCACATGTCGTCGGCATCTTGCGCACCTTGTGCTTCCCAGAGGATGCCTTTAGCCGCCTCCAGGACTACGTTAGGAACACCCCTATCTTTGCCGATTCAGGTGCCGATCCGTGGCTTTCTGGGGCCCTAACTGAGGTCTTAAGTGACACTTGGTTCACTTGGGAACGCACATCTTCGCTTGCCTCAGTCCGAGGGGGTACACGACCCGGCGATAATTTGGCAGACCTCCTTTTTAGTTTCCTCTTTTCGGAGGTACTTGCTCGCATCAGGCGGAGGCTCCAGGATCTTGATTTGCAATGTCGCTTTGCATGGAATGATGAATGGAAGGCGTCTCTCACCAAGGGTCAGGCTTCTGGACTTGAGACTCAATCTCCTGCCGACGTGACCTGGATGGACGACTGCGCCCTTCTTTACTATTCATCCTCAGCCTCGGCCGTCCTTGAGGGTACTCGGCGGGTTGCTGCAACGATGCTTGATGAATGTGTTCGGGCCATTTTGATGCCGAACTTGGGTCCAGGCAAAACTGAGACTGTTCTCTCCCTTCGTGGGAAAGGCGCTCGTTCCCTGCGAATCCAGGCCCTTGCCGGCATTGGCCCGAGCCTCGATATTCCCTCGGAGATGTGGCCTGGATCCCGTCTTCGGGTAGTACCGAAATACTGCCACTTAGGAGGGATAGTGCACCATAGCGGAGCTTTAAGACCCGAAATTAAAACCCGTGTCGGCCATGCTTGGACTGCTTTTCGTAAGCACCAGAAACGTGTTTTTGGGTCTGCTTTTGTCTCGACCCGGGACAAAGCGATCATCTTTGAGTCTGTTGTGCTCTCGACACTTACTTTTGCCTCCGGGACATGGTCTGTGTATGGCAAAGATGATCTTGCTCCCATTCAGCATGCTCTCCTCCAAATGGCACGCATTATGCTGAAGCCCTCCTACACTTTCGAGCAGGCCTGCCACCTGCCTCCCGGGTTTGTCTTTGCACTTGCTCGGATTCCTCAAGCTGGGAGCGACTTCGACACTTAGCTCTTCTTGTGAGGCTAGCTCCCGGGGAGCTGTGGGCCATTCTGCATGCTGAGGAAGCATGGCTTCGGCTTGCAGAAGGCTCCGTTCAGTGGCTCATTGAGTGCTTAAAGCGCACCGATCACCCCGGCAGACCGCTCGTTTGGGAGGACTGCCTCCAAGTGATTCGCAACTCTCCAGGGAGATGGAAGTCCTGGATTCGTCGAGCTCGGCAGCTCACACTCCTAGAAGATCGGTGGATTGCCGAGGTTCAACTGTTCCATGGCCATGTCTTGCGTGCCCTCACCAAAGCTGGAGCAACTTGCTCCCCTATAGCTCAACCTGTTGCTCCGTGCAATGAAATCTGCGCTCTTTGTCAACAGGGCTTTGCTGATCTTCGGGCATGGTCTCATCATGCGTTCAAACGCCATGGGCGTATTCGCCCTGAGCGGCATCTCGCCGACGGGTCCCAATGCCCTGTCTGTCTGCGGACTTTCGCGTCGAATGGCAGGCTTTGCAACCATTTGCGACATAACCGCAGCTGTCGTGATGCTCTCACTGCTGCCGAGCATGCGGTTCAGCCCCTTCCCGGTCGTGGATCCAGGCGTTTTGATACCGGGGATGATTCGCTTGTCCCAGTCATGCAGGCCTCCGGACCCTCCAAGCCCTGGAGTTTCCAACCGCTCGTTCAGGAACCGGACAGGCCCTCCGAGGAGGTACTTGGGCGACTTGAAACCATCTTATGCCATCCGGAGGATGGAGCTGATTCATATGCTGCCCTCCTCGAACAGTTTCGGTTCGCCTTTTGCACTGTGTGTTTGCAGCGCACTAGGCTTCGAGCCACTGCCACTGCGTGGCATGACAGTCTTCATGACTTACTTTCCCAGGATGAGGAATGGCCGGTGCAGTGGGCCAGCTGGCACACTAAAGCTGCGCGTTTCCTTTTGTCTGTTGACCTCGTTGAGTGGTTGGTACCTCACATTGTTGCTCCTGCGGCCAGCATCAGCACTTTTCGTGATGCCTCCACCGTCTTACCATGGCTTGATTTCCACCATGCAGTCCTTCCCTATTGGTCTGGTGCTCGGATCGAGGTTTCCCTTGTCTTTACTGATCGGGTTGAACTCTCCTTGCACTTGCCTGAGGTGTCTGTCCGTACCCATCTTGCCTGCATTGCAGATTCGTCCCTGCTTGACTTTGGACCACTCTGTCAATGCGCCGCTGAGGCTGTCGTCGTCTGTGATGTTAGGCACATCCTCTCATCACTTCAGCCTCCTTCCCCTCTACGGTCCTTTTCCAGTCTTGAGGCCAGTCTGCACAGGCTTCGACTGTTCGGTGACCTTGTCCGAGGGGTTCTGCATCTGTGGACCCATGGCGCTGGAGCTGTCCTCCTTGTGTCTGGACTTGAATGCCCTGCACTCGGGGCTCTGACCTCCCTCGCGCCCCACAGCCTGAGCCGATCTAATGGACTTTTCCTGGCCAACTGCCCATTGTCTTCGGCTCCACCTTCCCTTCTCACCCTTTAATTAATGCAAGCCGAATATCGGCTGCGTCCGACCGGACCCATTGCCACGAAATGCGAAATGCGAAAATGCGAGGCCCCTATATTAATCCCTGAAGCTCTGCACCCCCTGGACCCTGAACCCCGGTGCCTGGCGTCCCGGGCCCCGGCGTCCCGGGGACGCCCGAGCGAAACCCAGGGGTACCCGGGGCGATGGCAGGGAAGCCTCCGAAATTCTATGGCCCTTCGGCTCCAGGGTGCAGAATGGTGCAGGGTTTCGGGGTTTGTGGGTTCACTTTTGAACAAGTAGCTAGAACTATAGTTGTCTAACCTTTAGCCTTCGCTACTAAGTCGTCTGATCCTTTCAGGGTTTTGTCGTCTGGTTTCGTTTTATTGAACTCCTTTTCTCCAGTGCCCTGCAAGGTCTCGAGAGGCAGAGGGTTTATAGGGTCTATGGGTGTGTAGTTCTCAGGTTCTAATCAGGCTGAACTACGGTTGAGGAAAAACATCCTGCAATACCCAAAATGAGGAATTAACCATAATTCCCATAGTTCAGGGTCATTAAGGTAGTGCAGGATTATATCATCAAACGTATTTCATAACTCTCCGAGGTGGAAACATTTTGCAGTTTGCAATACTAGCCCTCTAACTTGGAGAGTCGAGGGACTTAGTAAGTAGGTAATAAGCAGAGTTATACGTCCCCCGACCCTGCAAGTAAGGTCCCTAACATACCTCAACGCCGTATTCGAACTGTGGGAATAGGGGTTTAGGGGTTTAGGGCTTGGGGGTTTCGGGTTTCGGGTCAATGGCATACACTCACCAACTCTCCTAAGACACTCACCAAGATCCACTACAGTTCAGTCAATACCTCAAACCTACCAAAACCTACTTATTTGGGAAGGTTCCCTACAAAATCAAAAAAGGGCTTCCGGCACGAACCCACGACAAGTAGGTTCTGGTAGCTTAAGGTGCGCAATAAGGAGAGTTGTAAGTTCCCTAACCAGGGACCCAACACCTGGGTGCTCGCAGCCTTCGGAGCTGCAGATCCTAATACATGGGGTTTCGGTTTAGGGTTTAAGGTTTAGGAATAATGAGGTATAGCCTTCGATCCCTGTTTGTCAGGTATCCTGATCCTCTCTCAGGGAGAATCTAGAACGATTTGGGAACCCGTACACTAGAGGGTACGTTTATAGTAACCCCTTTAGAGGCCTCACTCTTTCGATCCTCGCAGGGGTCTAGACCGTGAACCCTCAACCTTAACTTAGTTGTCAGGTATCCCAGGGAAACTAAAGGTCAATTAACCTTTGGGATTACAAAATAGGCATGATAATACACCAAAGCGGCTAAAGGCTACCTACTCTACTACTAAGCCAAAGGTTCATGCCTACAGTAACTTAAATTATCAATAATCAACATAATACTTGGGGTTCCTTATGATAATTACACGATGAAGGAGCCCAAAACCCTATTCTAATTACTAAGGCCCCTACCCTAAACTCTAAACCCTAAACCCCTAAGCTCCAAACCCCAAAACCTAATGCCCGAAGGCTAAACCCCTAAACCCCTAAACCCGCAAACCCCTAAACCCCGAAACCCCCAAACCCCTAAACATTACTATACTGAACTTCGAACCCTAGCAAAACTTATAATTTTAGCTATTTCTTAGGGATTATAATAACCAAAAACTAGAAAATATTTCTAAGTACCCCTAAGTCATTAAAGGCAAAAGGGCCCTCCGGGCCTGCAGCGACCTTTGAGCGCTTTCGTCGAGGTTTGTCCGGCGCAGGAGCACCAAACAGCGGCATCAACTCCTTTTCCTGCTTTTAGGCATTTTTCATGGTCGGGATATAGGATTTAAAAACTTACATTTTTCTATTCCTTATTGGGTTTAAGTACCAGTAAAATGTAAAACGTTACCCAGCTATGACAAAGATGTTTTCAGGGTTTAGGGTTTCAGGTTTAGGGTTCAGTGGGCAGTGGGTTTATGGTCTAGGGTTTTGTATTTTTGGGCTCAGTGGGTTTGGGGGTTTAGGGCTTTGCATTTTCAGGGCTCACTGGCGGTTGGTTTGATTTTTGCGACTTGGGAACGTGGGTTGGGCTTTCAGGGATTAGCTTCTGCGTAGCCGCGACAGCAGGGAGCGTTGCAAAACTATCGACAGTCATGGGATCGAGCACAATATGGAAGTTCAGTGTTGTGGTGCTGGTGCAAGAAGTCTTGCAGGGACTCCAATACAGTGCAGACGCCGTAAACGGCCCCCATGCCAGGGACAGTGGGTTCTATGGGCAAAGGATGTTGAGATCTTGTCTCGAAGGTACCCAAACAAGACGCACGAATACAATCGGACAAACGTCCCTGATGAAAAGCCCTGTGAAACCCTGCAAAGCCACGTAGAACCCTTACAGTGTAAACCCCATGTAATCATCACAAGACCCGGTAAAGCCCTGTGACAAAGCAGAACTCGAAAACCTTGAGAAACTTTTTGAAGCCCGGGTATGGAAAAACCTTACACACCTTTAAAGCATCAAACTTATAGACTAAATCTACATGCACCCAAAGATTGCCCTCAATATCAAAATTTAAAAGGTCTGAGTTTGAAGCAAATACGAATGGGAGCCCTACGTCCTAACCCGTAAAAAAACATCCTTCTAGAACTGTAGCACCCTCGATACCAATCTGTTTTCGTGCCTAAACTCTAAACCCGACACTCTAAGACCCTTAACTTTGACCCCTAGGCACCCAAGTACTGAACCTTGAACCCTAAGCCCCTAAACCCTGGACCCCCAAAACCTTAACCATCGAAAACCCGAGACCCTAAGCAATAAGACCGGAAACCCCAAAGCCCTGAACCCCTAACCACTGAATCATAAAAATTCGAAACCCCTAACCGCTGAAGCCCGAAAACCCTAACTGCCCTAAGAATTCGAAACCCCTAACCCCTGAACCCCCACAAACCCTAAACCCCTCAACCCTAAAGTCAACCCTAAACCCCTCAACCCCAAACCCCTGAACCCCAACAACCCTAACTGCCCTAAGCTCCATCCCCCTGAACCGCGAAAACCCTAACTGCCCTACTCTTTGCCTTCTCCGTAATAGTGGTTGTAATTGTACCCGATTCCTCCATTCCCTACTAACCAAAGGTAAGCCTGAGCTCCATCCCCCCTGAGGTGCCTCCTCCGACCCTAAGCCCCTCACCCCCAAACCCCTGAACCCCGAAAACCCTAACTGCCCTACCCTTTGCCTCCTCCGAGGCTGTGGCGGAGCCTTCCTCGGCCTCGGGGACTTCTGGGAATCCGCCGGCGGCCTCACGCGGCGCGGAATCTCTCGGGCTTTCTGCAGGGCTGCCTTACGGACCAAATGTAGCCCAAAAGGGTTAAGGGTTCAATTACTATATATATATATATATATATATATAGGAAAACATAGTATGCGGGTATCGGGGTCCTATCTTTAATGGCCGCGAAACGTAAGGGTTCATATGGGATATCACCAGGCCCAAGAGCCGTTACCGGGCTTTGTATAGCTTTGATAGGGCGCTGGGGCTTTCGAGGGCTTTATGCTATTAAAGGGTTCTCTGGGATGTGAGCATTTTGGGGGTTTGAGCAGGGATCTTAAAGGTTTCATAAGGGCCTTTGTGGAGGCATTGTAAGGGTTTTACCGTTTATGGGTTAGGGCTTTGGCTCTACACCCCGAAACCCTAAACTCTCGGGTTTCCAGCTTATTTGTTTAGACTTTTATAACGGTTGGGGGTCGAGGGTCGTGTCTTCCCAGGCCCGCAAAGCTTCTTCCAAAGACTCCTACATTGTTCGATCTCATGGGGCTCCTTTCTGAGTTTGGGGAAAGCTGCCGTAGCATAAGGGGCTGCAGAATGAGCCAAAATAACCCATATAAAGTTGCAAAAGACTGAAAAGACTTGCTCTTGTACTGATTGTCCTTCGGTCCTTCTGGTTTGCAGGCCACAAACTACTGTAGATACTTTCGTAAAGGAAGTGGTATAAGGCCTTAGTACTTGAAGCAGGGTTGCAAGGCCTATTATACTAGCAAAACTTTATTATCAGGCTACAAGGGGCGTCTTTGCAAATCATTCAAACCGCTGCAGGCCAGGGCGCAGGTTGTTTAAGCTGGTGTGCCAGCACCCTGAAGATCCATGTACCCAAATAGTATATACTTTGGCAGTTAATGTAGGGGCCTAAATACTTATTAAGAATTGTAGTAGTATACTGGGCCCCAAATCCCATTCTAATTGTTAAGGCCCCTATATTATTACATACTTTGGGGCCAAAGTATATGCTATTTGGGTACATGGACCCTTTGGGGCTCTTTTCAAACCTCCGCAGAATCGACCGGTCATCCCTTCTTGATCCACAGACTCATACCTAGGGTTCCTCTGGGATCTATAAGGGATCTTTCGGGTTTAGAGCTTTAGGAGACTCCAATATCCCTTAGTTAGGAAATACGCCTTAAATCAAAGTAATTATCCTACTACAATTTAAGGCCTATTCCTCAATCCAGGCATTTTGGAGCCCCTGGGCAGTTGCATCCAGCAGAACCCATGTACCATCTTGTAAGGGAAGTTTTCTAAAGTAGCATTTCTTTTTGTTCGGTTTCTACGTCTCAGAAGTAGTACGGCACCCATATAGAAAGAACCCCCATTAAGAGAACTACCCATGTGCAAGCTTATATGCGCAAACCTGTCAAGAAACCTCAAACCCCGTGAAACGGTTGATCCCAAATTCTCGCGGCCTCTGCATCCAGGTCCATGATCATGAGAGCCGGTGCGACTTCCACACGGTTCAAGATTTCGAAGCCTGCCGACAGCGAGACTCCCCAACTCTTTTCTACAGGGGCCTTAATGATTAGAATAGGGTTTGGTCGTATATTATACCGTCATTATAATAAGGAACCCTCAAACATGACTATTCAGGCCCCTATATTATTTAGGGTTTAGGGGCTGCTGTGTAGACGAGTAACCTTGTTGTACTCCACCTTCGGGGCTGATAGCTTCGCTCGTTCTAGTCAACAGTTTCAATAGCTCAGCCTTGCCTCGTCCTTCTCCAAGTGGCCCGTCGACACCAAAGTCCGAATGATTCGAAGTTGTCGCCAGCCCAGCCAAGGTTCTCAGCTAGTCTATGAACCCACAAAGGTCGTTCCAGTTTCGCGCGCAAACCGAAGGTGAATGCTGCTAGATCTTCGCCGAACATGCTTCTACCCATAGGCTCCATAGTAGTTCCTGTTTGGGATTGCCTTATAGGCTTCTAAATATGAACCACCAAAAAGAACTACTATGGATCCTCTAATATAGGGCCTTAATAATTAGAACAGGGGGATAAGCGACACGAAGCCCGAAAGGGTCCCCCCCAACGAAGGCTGCCTAAACCTTAAAGACCAAACGACCTTGAAAGTAAGGGCCCTTTTACCCTTATAGTATAGTATGAACCCATATATGGTATATATAAACCTTAAACCCTCAGAAGGTACATTTCGTCCTTAAGGAACCCTAAACCCTAAACCGCGCCAATGAAGGCAGCCAAGCTGAACTCGAAGCTAAATCCGGAGACCAAACTCGATTCCTAGAGACTCCACTTGGAGGATCATGGGACTTAGTAAGTATGGTTATAAGTATCTTAATTGGGGTTATAAGTAATTATAAGTATAGTTACCTTAATTATAACCAAAGTTACTAAGTCCCATGATCCTCTAAGCAATACCCCTTAATTAAGCAATATACCCTAAACCATATCAGGGATCTACTATGATTTAAGGTATATTCCTTAATCAGGGGATATAGGAGTCTCTGGGTTGGTGGATGTGAACGCAACAAATTGCATCAGCCGATTCAATATCATTAATGTATCATTATCCCGAAGCAGCAAGATGGTTGTCGTACAGCAGGATTGTGTGTGTCAGAGCCTTAAACCCAAAAACTCCAAATCAGACTCCTGAACCTTAAACCCCATACCCCTGAACCTTAAGACTCGAGACCCCAAATCTTATCGAGTCGCTTAGGCGCCTTTTTGCGCTGCGGCTATATCTACCTGAGCATAGCGGATTATGGATTTGGTTCAGGGTGTGCGGGATTAGGATGTAGGTTCCCAAAGCTTTCGAATTAAGGGCCTATTTATGAGTCTTAGGTTTGGGTCCAGAGGGTGTGGCTTTTAGGATGGGGGTTTAAGGACTTTTGAGCTTTGCTTGTTTTTTGTGGTCCCGGACCCCAGACAGGTGAGGCTTGGGTTTCGTGGTTTAGGGCTTCAAAGCTCATGGTTTCAGGGGGTTTACGGTTTAGGGTTTTAAGCTCATGGTTTCAGGGCATTTAGGCTTCCTTTACAGCTCACATGCGCGACACTTCAACCAAACTCAGGATTTAGGGCTCGCGAAAGAAGCTACAAACAGGGAAAACTACAGCAAGCCAACCATGGAATTTCATTCTGGGGGCCTTAACAGTTAGAAATGGATTTGCGGGGTATATTATACGATAGCTAGCCCAGCAACCCACAGGAACAGTACAGGAAACTTTTCAGCCGACCGCGTGATTCTCTTCAGCATGAATACGATTCAGTTGCTCTCTCAATTCTGCGCAAAAGTTCGATTAGACTGACAAAGACCAGCTAGTACAGGGGCCTGAATAAGTAGAATAGAGTTTGGGGGTCCGTTATACGATAATTCTGATAAGGGAACCCCCCCAAATAGTAAATTGGTAGTTGGGTAGGCCCCTATAGTACCACATTTCCTGCATATTGTGTCCCTCATCTAGGAACTTTGGCGATGTAATGGCAGTCAACTTTGAACAGAGTGTTCCATATTTCCTTCGAGGAACTGAGTGAAAATACTTTCTGCAGCGCTTCAGCTCGGCCTTAAATCCGTTTCCGTAGGCGGTGTTGCGAACCCAGAAATTCTAAGCACGAACAGAGGCGAGTTGCAATGTCCTTGACCGCACCCAAGACATCCTCGTGTCCCGGCGCCTGAGCAAAGCTGCCAAAGCTGCCCATGCTTGGTTGGAATCGATCTGCTCTATAACAGAACAGCTTTGCTGTTGGACATGATATTCATCCCTAAACGATGGTACACGCACCAGCCATCAAAGCCCTAGTCTTAGCTCGGCAAGTTTAGCACCTAGGAAGCTTGCGACTAAAGTGGAAGCTCTTCGGTATACTGGAAGGATCATGGGACCTAGCAACTGGAGTCATAAACAGGAAGACGATACTTACAGAACTATTATTAATGGCCCCTCCCCCCCAAGCAGGCTGTACGATGCCCTAAACCCTAAACTTTGAGTGTGGTTCCGGGCTTGCCGTTCTACCTGGGGTTGAGGCTTAGGGCCTCAGGTCTCCGGTTTTCAAGTTGAGGTGTTTTTTGGAGTTAAGGTCTGCAGGTCTGCGGCTTCAGGTTTAGGGTTTAGGATCTTAAAAAGAAATGTTGCAAAACCGGCCGCACCGAGCAGCTGGAAAATACTGGACGTTGCATTGCCATGTAGGTTGTGCAGTCTAGGGGCCTTAATGATTCCCATCATACTACGACTATATAATTCATACGGGAACCACCAAAAAAACGTGTAGGTAATTATTCAGACCCTTGTACTAGTGGGCCTTCTCCAAGAACGGCGATTGAATGTGAAGTTCGTCCGGTAATGCATCCAGAGAAATCCCACCTCTCGGATAACTTGTATACCATAACCTAGTTGCTCAGTTCACAAGCCCCAAAAAGTGTACATTTTCTTTTTTTATAGTGGGTAATATTATACCAAAACGTGTAACGTGTGTCCACTCAGCTACTAAGATAACAAGATGAAGCAGGTTGAAAGTTGGGGAAGTGTTTCGAGGAATCCTTTGAGCTGCAATCTCCACCCTGTGCACTTCCTGCCTCCAAGACGGAATAGTACACTCTCTGCCCTTGGACTCTACATAGAAGCCCAGGAATCCGGACAAACTTAATGAATGGGTATACCGCTACTGTCGGGGTCGGAAAAATTAGTCACAGTGTTCCCTTGCAGTGGCTACGATCTTCACTACTATTGTTGTTATCGTTCTGTTGCTATTCTTCTACTTATTGCTACTTTTCGAGAAATTCATCGTTACCTGCCTCCGTTCTTTGTATTTATTGATTTAGAAGTGTACCACAAAGCCACAAAACTCTTGTCAAAGGCCCTATCTTACCACTTCGAGGCCTGGTAGTGCAAATGCGCGGTGGTGCCAGGCGCCCCATACTTCGTAGGATTCTGGCAGACAGTTTTTGCAAGGAGGGCTTTGTGGGTTCTTGTTGTTAGGGTTTAGGGTTCGGAGCTCCGGGTTCAAGGCTTCTTCCTTGTTCTTGAACCCTTCTTTGCTGCGAAGGACGGGGGATAGGGGTTCAATTCTTGCGTCGGAGGCCTTCGTGTTCGGGCTTGTAGGCCCGAGGCAGACTGCATGTAGGCAGTTCTCTACAAGTAGAGTCCCTCTTGGGGCCCCGCAAAATAATACCGCACCCTCCGAAAAAGGACCCTAATAGGGACTCGAATTTAGATAACGAGCCTTATGACGTCAATGCCGAAACCCGAATACCAAACTTATTGTAGTTGTCATTGTTCTTTGTGGTGATTCTGATTATTACCAGTACGATTATTATTCCTACTATTATTAGTAGTACTAATATCTTTACTAGGCTGTTCAGTAACCCACTGGGAAAATGTATATACTGTGTTAGGCCTTTTTAGGCTTCTGACTTTATAACAGGAACCCAGAAACCTGAAAGCAAAGAAGTGTGCCACTGAACAGCCTGGTTTATGAGTATTCTTCCTAGTATTATCAATCTTAGTCCTTCCATTATTACGATTACTATAATTCTTCCTAGTAATACTCGTAGTATTGATATCTTTTTGAGTATTCTTACTAGTATGATCCATGTTAGCCCTTCCCAGTGCTTAGCATTGTTACCATTTCTAATTATTGTTATTCCTACTTTTCTCAGTAGTATTACCATCTTTATGAATATTCTTACTAGCATTATCACTGTTCTTATTGCGATTACTCTTACTAGCATTATCATTGCTAATATTCTTCCTACTATTATTAGTAGTACTAGTACCTGTATGAGAATCCTTACTAGCATTATCAATCTTACCCAGAGCCTCCAAAACCCTTAATTAAGGAATATACCTTAAATCATATTAGGGGTCCTACTATGATTTAAGGTATATTCCTTAATTAAGGGGTTTTGGAGGCTCTGGGTAGTCCTTCTCAGCGCCTTCTCCTGGAGTGCGCGGAGGCGCCTGCGCCGAGCCCGGAAGCGGAGGAGGAGGTCGCGAGAGATCCAATAGATGTAAGTCAGGGTATAGGGTTTTTAGGGGTGTAGGGGTTTTAGGGGTTTAGGGTTTCTCTCTTCTTCAACAACCAGCCCCAGAAAGTTCAAACTTTGAAAAGATAGAGCTAGTATATATGCTATCATATATGGCCAAAAAGTTTCAAGTTCCCCCGTTCACTATCTAAGGTTTAGGGGTTTAGGAGTTAGGGTTTCGGGGTTTAGGGTTTAGCGGTGTAGGGGTGTAGTGGTTAGGGTTTAAGATTAGTTTTTAGGGTATTTCAAGGATCCCCCCAAAAGATTATGAAAAGGTACCTCTACTTACAGGGCCATAGCCATGCAATGGGAGATGCAGAAGTCTTTCAAAGTGACCTCGGAAAAATGAACCGACTCTCATATTTGGTGACTGTTTCGGTGTGCGAAGCAAACACTAGGTCACTCGGTGAGTAGGCCTCTACATTTGACGACAACGTCACCACCACTGGTTGAACTCGTGCATGTGGCGAACCCCAAACCCTGCGACAGTGACACCGTAAAGCGACATATTTGACTGCTCAAAGGATCAGGCGAGTTAGTGAGGCGGTTGTAGTATTGGAGCAATAACCCTAAACCCCAAACCTTGTAAACAGTAATATTAATAAGCCCCACAAACCACTGTATATCTACATCTCCCTATAACTAACCTACACGACATGAGTAACCCACCCCCTAATAATAGGAAGGCCGCTATGTGACTTACTTGCGATTCTCTGTGAACCTCTGCAGGGCTGCACGCCATCGCTCGAAGATCAGCGAACCGCTGGCGAAGTCGCTGGGATCGCCGAGCTGTCAGAAGGTTTGATGTAAAAGATTCTTACCGGGTCTCTTAACAGGCTCTATAAGAGGTTTCCTCGTCGTCTGATATACTTATATCGTATATATCTATAAATACATGCGTATATATGGTTCTGGATAGATGTACACCTGTATATACACACATAGATAAGGTGGACTTGTCACAGAGGCCTATTGAGTGCAAGCATCCCTTGCCTAAGGGTCCCTGCTTGAGGGTCTTCCCTTTGGCTGTAGCGAGGAAGGAACCTTGCTTAAGCTTCGGTCTCCAAGACCCGAAATCATAGGGACCCTTAGGGGGTGCTTTAAGTGGGGGGAGGGGGGTAGGGGACGATACTTCCTTAAGTAGGCCTCATTCGGTCCTTATTCTGGGCATTATGGCCCCCTACCCCCCCTTAAGGGTCCCTATGAGAATAACTTCCAATGTAGGGCGGCTGGTTCCACCTGAAGCTACTGCCACGGTTTCTTCATAAACTAGTGCCCCGATATCCAAACGGCTCGAATACTGGGTAGAGGGGTGTTCGGGTCTACTGCAAAGCAGCATACCACAAATTAGCGGACATGTGGTCAAGTCCCGAAATGGGATACTGTTGGATTTTCCAGCACCTTTAGAGATTCCTCCTTGTCTCCTACATCCAACCCCTGTGCAGCCCCACTGCAACTGAACAAATCCCTCAACCACCACAGCCGCAGAGCCACTAACAGTTTGGTCCTAGCACGTCTGCAACCCGACGATCCCTAAACCCCTAATTATGCCCTGAACCTAAACCCCTAAACCCTAACACTTTACTCCCCTTTTACACGCCCTTGAAGTCATGGGCCTCTTCCAGCCTTGTTTGAAGGACGACTCTGCCCTTCGCCGAAACCCAATGAACACAAGACGGTCAGGTTTTAAGGTCTAGGCTTTCAGGGTTAACTGAACAACCCCAAGTAGGACCCAGCACAATTTATCAAAATCCAGTTGAACCCTACAACCATCTCCTGCTCGCCGAAAACCCAGAGATTCAACTACCCCTTAACGAAGGAACATACCCAAAATACAGATAAACATAATAATAATAATAATAAGACTAATAAGACTAATAATAATAATAGTAATAATTCTAGGCTCAGGAAATGGAGTCTCTGAGAACCCGCCTCGAGAGTTCTTTCAATGACTTGGAGGTATGTCGCTTTCAGCTGACTGAAGGAAGCGATGGACATTCCATTGCTCCCCGATCGCAGCCCCACCCAGTTGCTTTAGGGCTTGGGGCTCGGAGTTTAGGGTTCTGGGTGCTTAGGGTCGGAACTCATATTAGGGATGTGCTTTGGCTTCGGGCGTTTCTGGCTTCGAGTTCAGGGTTTGGGGTATGAGGGCTAAGGCTATTGCTTTTGCATGTGTGTTCCTTGACAGGGGCCCTGGGACGAAAAAGTGTTCAACATCTGACGTAGAAACATCCCTTGTCTGAACTGGTACTTGGAGAACTTTGGAGAGCTATTCGAATCGCTGTAAAGTGCTTGAGTTTCGGCTGCTCTTGCTTAGAAGCCGATTGCTAGGCGCTCTGGTACTTTCCGTAGAGCTGACATTCTCATGAAGCTACCTTGCAAATGCCTGGCTGTGAGACCCTTGCCAGGAAACATGGTTCGGACCACAGATGGGAACATAAACGCATGGACAGCTCCTGTGGGTCTTAAACAGACCCCCTCTCAAAAAAGTGCGTTATCATACTATAGCGGCCTCAATATTCAGAAGAGGGTTCCGGGGCCCATTGTACTATGATCATAACAAGGACCCCCGCCCCCCCAAACCAAAAAAAGGATAGGTAAGTGCTTGAGCCCCTATATTATAGTACCCTTGTCGTAGGCCTTGTATAGAAGCCTTTTGAGGATCCCTTTAAAGGGACCTCTATAGAGCCCTACTCAAAGACTATAAGCATGGTATACAGTAATATACCCCAAGACCCTATTCTACTTATGAAGGCCCCTGTGCTATAACAGTAGCTTCCAGACCCCTGCAAAAAGAGGGACCCCTACAGAACCCTACCCTAAACCCTAAACCCCAGAACTCTAAACCCTAAACCCTATTAAGGCCTCTGTCATGTAAACCTGCCTGCCTGCCTGCTTCTACACACAAAGAGCTGCTCCGCAGCTCCCCAGAGACTCCAATATCTCGTAATTAAGGAATACCTAGGGCTCCTTTAAGGGATCCTCTAAGGGATCTAGAAGGTTTGGGGTTTAGGGGACTCCAAGATCCCTTAATTAAGGAATATACTTTAAGTTCGATTAAGAACCCAACTATGATTTCAGGTATATTCTTAACTAAGGGGTACTGGAGTCTCTGAGAGCGGACTTATGATCATCATGCTTCCGCTTTCCACGCTGTACCATGCACATACTGACACCGAGGCTGACAGCTCAGCGCACACTCCTTTGGAGTGGCCGCTATGCACCCCGAATCCTTCTCAGCAGCACCAGCATGTTGTTAGGGTTTGCTTAGGTCTTGGGACGTGAGGCTTTAGGTTTCGGGCTTCGCAGGGTTTAGGATTGTATTCGTGCAGCTTTTCGCAGGTTACCTTGACAATCTCTTTCGAAGCTGCCATGTACTATGTACTCAACACGGCTAAGTTTGAACGACATGCTGGAGTCTGGAGAAGGGTTTATCGCAATGCTTCGCATCCTCTTCGTTGCAACATGAGGGTGGTTGTCAAGATTATGGTCCCTTTTTGGGTGCCCTAAATATTAGGTGCCATATTTCAAGATTATGGTCCCTTTTTGGGTGCCATATTTTAATAAGGACCCAAAAAAGGAAAATAATATTGATAGCCACCCATGACTAGGATACCCAGTAACCAAAGAATAAAAAGGCCTCTCTTTTGGTATTGGGTAACTTTATAAGGAACCTAGGACTACAAACAGGGAATAAGGATACTTCTGGGCATCCTAGTTTAATAAGGACCCAAAAAGGGAACCTAATATTGATAGCCAGCTGTGAATTAGCAGGGATGGCACAACTGGTCTGTGTGCGAATTGCCGCGAATGTCGGACTTGCAGCTTGGGACTTACACAGTATACCACAGGGCCCTTGGTAAAATTGGACTAGGGTTCCTTTGAAGGGATCTATAAGGGCTACTACAAGGGATCTATAGAGTAGGGTACTGTAATATAGGGGCCTTAATGACTAGAATAGGGTTTCGGGGCCCTTCACTTATACTAAAGCCATAATAAGGAACCCCCCCAAATAGTATTGGCATTTATTAAGGCGCCTATATTACACCCGAACATCGAGTCGAGGGCCTCAACAGTGCGTGAATAGCTTTGAAGGTAAGCAAGCATCATACTGAAATTTTAACGCACCCTGAGGATCGAATTACTAAGGGTTGCATGTTAGAGTCCATGCCTTCACCTCCGGTTCTTGGGCCCAGTCCGACATGCGACAGCACTTAATCGGCTGCTCATCTACCGACATCGGCGGCGGGTGGGAGCCGAGATTGATGCTATACGCTTCATGGCGCCACGAACGGCCTCGGCCGTGCCACAAGCGCCGAAGAGTCTCGAACTTAGGGTTTAGGGTTGAGCTGAGGGGCTGAAGGTTTAGGGTTTTAGGATGTGAAGTGTAAGGGCTTAAGGATTTAAGGTTTAGGATTTAAGGTGCGGGCTTTGGTGTTTAGGTTTTAGGGTGTAGGGTTCGACATTCGGTGGCTAGGGTTTCGAGTTTAGGGTGGGGGCATTCAAGGCCTTTTCGCATTTTTGGGTACTTAAAGATCATCGAGCTAGTTGCTAGGGTTATGACTAAGGTAACCATACGTATAACTACTTGTATTCCTATTGGACGTACTTTTTCCTCTAGCTTGCTAAGTCCCCCATGATCCGATAAGTACTCCTAAACTCTCCTTCATAGAAAATCAACACGCCTCATTTTCCCTGGCGCTGTGCTGTGTTTCTTGCACATACAGGGCGTTATCGTGTGTGTGCTTTTTGCAAATAGAGGGCATTGTCGTATACTGTATGTTTTTGTTTTTTGTTAGTTTTCGTGTGTTTTGTCCGATTTTTTGCACATGCAGTGAAGCCGCGTCTCCCACAGACCATCACTTCGCAAAGTATCCATGTTCCTACCATGATAATGTACGGGCTTGAGGATTCAGGACGCCTTGGCGTCGTGCTTAGGTTATGAAGACAGGCCGCTACAAACATTCTGCTCGAGAGTACCAGCTGTTGCGCATGCCATAAGCTTCGTGCCCTGTTCCCGTGAACTGCAAGAACCGCCCAGAAGAACGCAGCCCAGGAGTATTTGGGTGCTGATGGGGTTTTCAAGGTTTAGGGCTTAAGTAAGGACTGACATGTCGCAGCATCCACCATCAGCAATGTGCCGTGCTACCTAGATAAAGTTCAGGGAAGTTATGCTATTGCAGTACCTTTGTCCCTCAACCTTTTCCCTTCTACAGTTTAGGCTCTGAAATCACGGAACACCTGGTGCTGCAAGCTGCAGCGGTTTGAAGCCGTCGAATCCCAATCCTGAAGCCTCACTTAGGGGGCTGAGTACGTAACAAGAAATTAACCTTTTGGAGTTTATGTAATCCGACTATAGTTTTAAAAAGGGTAGCCCTGTTTTGGGGCCAGGATACTCCAATGCCTAAAACCTTAAACCCAAAAACCCAGTACTTTCCGGTGAGTTTCTGTAGGATCGGGTACGTCGAAGCTGAGATCTCGGACATCGTCGCGTGCCTTTTCCTCCAGGCTGCTTGGCCTCAGTGAATCAAAGCGAGGCTTGGTTGGCCTCCTTGAGCAGCATCCAAGAGGGGAAAGTTTAGGGTCTAAGGTTAATAGCTATAAGTATCTAGGATGCACAGTAACCTAGGAATACAAAGGGGCTCCCTTTTTGGCATTTGGGTAACCTTATAAGGAACCTACTACAAAAAGGGAAGAAGGGCATCCTAGTTAGTTGAGCAGGATCCAAGAGGGAACTACAGGTTAAACTTTGGACTCTCGCACCCCCAAAAAATGGCAGCTTAGGCTTAGGGTTTTGGGGATTCGGTTTAGAGTTCGAGGTTTGCAGTGTAAGGCAAGAGTCTAGGGGCGCAAATTTTGGGCATGATCCATCGGAAGCTGTTGCTTCGTCTGTGTTCGGGTCTCAAAGTACCGGATGGTTGTCAGGCTTACCTTTGGTTAGTAGGGAACGGAAGAATGGTAGTAATGGTAGTTATAATTGTACCGCATTCTTCCATTCCCGACTAACCAAAGGTAAGCAGGACCGTGGAAGCCTCCACAGCATCTAGGTCAGCACATTCCCTTCGATGCTTCTTGCGGCACTCCGGAGCAAAGGCTTGGGTGGTCACATTCCTTACCTTTGGTTAGTAGGGAATGGAGGAATGGGGCACAACTATAACTACTATTACTACCATTCTTCCATTCCCTATTAACCAAAGGAAAGAGTCTGGAACCTCTCTGACAGGCGGATGTCCGGAAGATTGAGTGTCTTGCGCTTCGGGGCCATATCGCACCAGGTATCTAAACATCATCCCGAATTGTCGCCTACACAAACCCACTTACCCCTGTGGTATCAAGGGACTAAGTAAGAAGGATATACATAGAATGCGCTTTTATATCTACTGTATTTACTTGCAACGTAGAAGATTTTTCGACTTGGTAAGTGAGACTCAGAATTACGTCAATTAGGAATATAAGCAATATGTAATGATGCGGTCTGTAATAAATCGAGTGCGAAGAACACCGCTGCTGAGATGACTCCGCCTACAATCGGATTACCTGCTCACTGATTCCCCTGATGTTGAAAATTAAACCCCATTTCCGGAGCTACTTACTATCCGCTAAGCCCTGAGCCCTGAACCCTAAAGCATGCAGCCCTGTTGCACCTCTAGCTGCTATGTCCTGAGAACAGACCAGAAAACGCCGCAGAGCCGCAATCCCGAGGCCTCACATTCCCTTCTTGAGCCCTCGTCTTTATCCAAACCCTAAACCGTAAACGACCAATCCTTAAACCGCAAACCCTAATACAGGGGCCCTAGAAATTAGAATAGGGTTTTGATTGAGGCCCATAATACGATAATCATAATAAGGAGCCCCCCCCCCCCCCGAACATAGTATTGGTATTCAAGAAGGCCCCTAGATTACATCCTTATAGCAGCCCTTATATACCCCTTTAAAGAAACCCTGAGGCCCCAAAACCTAAGCCAGAAAAGGAGGCAAGCCCAAGACAGGACCCGAACATAGCCGGCGCTTGGCAAACGCGAGGAATGGACCGCGCCTGATTCCAAGTCTTACGACCCTACCCTAAGGGTACAAGTACCGAATAATCATATACTCCCCAAATGGGAGTTTCCGCAAATATGGGACCCTAATATAATTAGGAAGCTAAACGGTAGGATGCATATTGCAAGGAGCCCAAAATCGGAAACTCCCAAATATTCACCTACATATCTACTATGCTAAATCCAAGTACCTGATTATTGGGTACTTTGGACCCTTGGGCTAGAGCTCGGGTTTAGGATGTCGCGAACCCTGAAAGAGAAACACTCAAATACATACATATGTATATATGTGTATATATGTATATAGAGACTCTGAAAACCCGTAACTAAGGAACCTATCCTAAATCCTACTTAAGTGTTCATTGCGGGTTCTAGGGTTTGGGGGTTTAGGGCTTTAGGGTTTGGGGTTCAGGGTTTGGACTGCGGACAGATCTACAAAGTCGAACCCTGCCAGAAGACACCTGCTAGAATGGCTTCAAGGGCTCTGGTTGATGGTTTTTCAGACTCTCGGAGGCCTCACAAGGTGGGATGAAGGTAGGTGGTATTAAGGATCCCTGATATAAGGACTCCTGTTTGGGAATATCCCACCTACCTTCATCCTACCTTTTGAGGCCCCCGAGACTCAAACCTTTAGGAGCCTCTAGATCTCCTAAACGCCTGAAGCCTGAGCCCTCGACCCTACCCCCTAAACCCTAAACCCCTAAACCCTAAACCCTAAGCCTTAAACCCTAAACCCGGCGGCCCTATACCCCAAACCTCAAAACCCTAAACCCCTAAACTCTAAACGTTAAACCCTGCAGCCCTATACCTTGAACCCAGTAAAACCCTGAAGCCGACGTCTCTTAAAGCCTTAGCCTATTTGCTGAGTTCATAAGCTCCAAGAAGTGTACACTTTCAGCTTTATAGTGGGTAGTCTTATCCCAAAAAGTGTAAAGTGCATCCACTCAGCTACTAAGTTACAACCCTGAACTTATTTAATGTAGGCGCCTTAAGGACCAGAAGAGGGTTTCGGGGTATACTATGATATAGGAACCTGATTAAGAAACCCTGGGTCTTGATTAGAGCTCCTTATATGAATCCTACTATGTTGGGGTTCTAGGACCAGGGCTTCTTTACGATTATCTGGTCTTTCGGGCCCGGTGAATCCCTTTTAGGCCTCAATGTGGCCGGCTTGGGCGAGGCGTCTGGTGACCTGGCACAAGAGGCCGTTTTTCGTCCTTTGCGGTATGTGTAGTTAGCTTTTGACCATCAGCAGCCGGAACCCAGCAGGACTAAGCCAGTCAGCTACTTTATCCTATTTTCAGCTGTAGACTATCCAACTTTTAAGCCCCCTGATCCTGAGCCTAGAACCTCAATCCTGAACTATGCACCTGACCTCCCGAGGCCATCAACGCTGAATCCTATGTCCTAACCCACACGAGCATTATTATATGTTAAGTGTATATATATATATATACATATACATATACATATACATATATATATACATATATATATATATATATATATATTATACATACAAACCATCATGATTTATTTACATCTCCTTGTTGCCCCGATGCATTTCGGAAGGCTTCTCAACATTTCTGAACCCCTGAAGCATCTAGCCACCCGAAATCCGAAATTGCAAACCACATAAACATAAATGACCCCAACCTTTTGGCCGAAGCCTCAATCCCGGGGGGGGGGGGGGGGCGTGTAATACTACACTTGAGAACAAACAACAGCGAGGCAATTCTATTGCGAAGTAGTCCGACCTCTAGATTACGACCCTAAAATCCTAAAACCCGAAACCTCAAAACCCTAAACCCCCAAAGCCCTAAACTCTAAAACCCCAAAACGCTAAACCCCTAAACCCTAAACTCCCAAACCCCTAAACCCTCAAAACCCTAATAAACCTCAAAACCCTAAACCCCTAATACCCCCAAACCCCTAAAGTGAGCAGGAGCCTGCCGGAGGCCCTCCACGGCGGCGTCAGGGTCGTCTGGAATCTCCTAGGGCCAGAGACTCCTAAGGATCCCTTAATGAAGGAATAGACCCCTAAGAGTTCCTTAAAGGGATCTACAAAGGGTTCTATGAGGGATTAAAGGAATATGCCTTGAATTATAATAGGAAACCTAATATGATTTAAGGGTTGTTGGAGTCTCTGGAGAGCCAGAGAGCCCCAGACACTTCAAGCAGTATACCTTAAGTCACCAAGGGCAGAGCAGTCTCATGTTAGGTATACTCCTTAATCAAGGGTATTGGTTCTCCACGCACAATCTTCTAGCAGGACACACGCCAACCCAAAGCGTGAACTACTACACCTTGAATGTGGAATGAAGGGTGTTGAGCGCCGTTTATGGCGTTTTACAGCTGTTCAAGTGCAGTTACGAGGGATCTTTCAAGCTCCTAGGCCCATGCCACAACCGCATGTCCCTGACCGGGGTTGCCGCCTTATCGTGTGTCGTCTTATCGTTGAGGTACCCCAGCAACCCTTTCAACTCAGGATTGAAGTACTATTTTAAGACTTGGGGCAGTTTTGGGTTTGGGATTTAGGTTTCAAGGGTTTAAGGTCTCGGGTCTTGGGGTGTAGGGTTTAGGGCCTGCTGTTCTACCTAATTGGTATACATCCTGACTTGTGTTGGGGTCTTTCGAACCCCATAATACGGTTGATGATATAAATCCTGCATTACCTTAAGGACCCTAAACTATGGGAATTATGGTCTATTCCTTGTTATGGGTAATGCAGGATTTATATCATCAACAGTAGTAACCTTAGCGGCAACTATAGAGGGTGTAAACGGCACCAAGGACAGGTGTCGATCGGGGGGGACCAGGGTTTGTCACCATGCAGGCTAAAGGTCTTTGCAAATGCAAAATATCGGGGCCTTCATAATTAGCATAAGGTTTGGGGGCCCACCATACTATAAGCATAGTATGGAAACCCCAAAGTAGTATAGGTAATATTACGGCCTCATATTAAGGCCTTATATTACATTCGTAGGGCTTGCACGAGGTTGAAGCTTTAGGGGGCTTGGGCTGACTATGGTTGAGTCAAGCTGACTGCGGCCACCCTTAGTGGGGCCTCGGGGTCGGGTTCAGGATCTACCTTCGAACGACCCCCCTAAAAACCATGTCGAAGCCGACTACAGGGGCCATGACTAGAAGTACTATCATCTGGGCATTCTACGTAAGCGCACATGATTGTGGATTATTCGTAAAACCACCTAAAACCCTGTAAAGTTATGTAGATAGCGATGTCCCGATATTCTTGCGAAAGGGTCAGCAATGCTCTGCAGGACTAAGGACCCCAAGATGCACCTAAACACAACCATAAGGTTGGGATATCCCATAATCCCCTTCTGAAGTACGGAGATGGGCTACAGAGACGATCATGCTTAGTAAATTCTTTAATTGGGGTTCAGAGTAAATGTAAGTATAGTTTCCTGTCTTATAACCCGACTTTCTAAGTCCCATAACCCCTTCTACCGCCAAACCCCCAAAAATCCATTGTGGAACCCTGTTAAGGGAAGCTGTCACGGAACCCGGGTCAGGACCCCTTGAGCACAGTGCAGCAAAAGTACTGCCTGTGAGTTGACTGAGAGAGGCTTGCGGTAGCCCGGTCGTAGAGTGCCATCCTTGAGATGACGCTTCCGAGATAACGCGAGGGTTAGGGTTTTAGGGTTTAGGGTTTTCAGGATTTTGGGGCTTTTGAGGTTTTTAGGGTTTTACGGGTTTAGGGTTAACCCTACACCTTGAAGCCCTGAAAACCGAATGCCTTAAACGGGACCTCAAGCAGGGACAACCATGCGCTTTCGTATTCGTCAGCTTCAATAAGGAGACCTCAAACTTCTGGTCATAATCGGCGCCGGAACCAGTAAACCAAAAACCCCCGTAACCCCACACTCCCGCAACACCCCCAATCCTAGTCCACCTCAAAGCCTGAAACCAGAAACCCCTTTTTGAGTATTGTTGAACATTGGGGAGTTTCCGGAAATTAGGCTACCTTATCTTGGTATCCTTATAATAAGGATCCTACGATTTAGGGTACTATGGTCCCCTATTTTCGGAAACTCCCATTTTTGAAATTGAAGGCCTCTTGGAACTGAAAACTGAAGGGCAGGGCCCCGAAATCCCACGAAAAGGCGCCTCTGGGCCTTTTGCTTTACTCTAATTTTCATAAACCCCATATACTAGCCATAAATCGTAATAAATCGTATGGTAACCTGCCTTGGGGCTTGGAAAGGGTGTAGTAGCTAATGAATATCTGCGTCTTTTGTGTGGTCGGTTCTTGTTTCGAAAGCTCTGTTACGTACGACCAAAGACCCCCGCATTGGCCACATGGCTCAGTAGTATCCTACCTGGTTACCTTCTGCTTCAGCCAGGGTTCAAGGACGAGGGGTCTGGGTTCAGGGTTCTACTTTGATGGGGGGTTGTCCCTAAACCCTAAAATCTGGAACCTCGAACCCGACCATCCCAAAGCCTTCCAATACCCGCCACATGAGGAAGTACTGGTGTCCGAACCTCTTGTGCTGATTGGCACAGTGAAGGCCGCACACTTTTTCCACTAAATCCTTGTAGACATCCTGAAAGAATTCCTCACAGAATGCCTTCGACACAAGCCTTCTACAACCCAACAAACGCCCAGCAACATCCTGCAACACCAATACGACATCCCGTTCACAACTCGTATCAAGCTGCTTGTAAAACCCTGAACACGAATCTGAGAAGCCACTGTCCCCCTTTCCTCTCTCTCGTTCTCAGTAATGAATGGGGGGCCTGGATTTCTATAGCAGTCCCCTTATAGCAGTCCCTATAACACATTCCTCGATTCCGAACTTAAAGGATCAGGGAGACTCAAGAACGTATAAAAGAGATAGCTACATGCTCCTCCAAGTACTAAGAACCAGCTGAACCCTAAACCCCTAAACCCTAAACCCCTAAACCCTGAACCCTCAAACCCCCAAGCCCCTAAGGGCACGGCCAGGGTTTGGAATGTAGACTTGAAGAGAAGGCGGAAGGCCAACTTGTGTCCTGAAGAGACGTCAGGCTTTTCCTGCAGGGACTAGGGTTTAGGGTTTGGAATTGAGGGTTTGGATTTAGTTTGTACAATAGAGTTTTTGCTTTGGGTTTGGAGGGTGGGTAGGGTTTAGGATTCAAGTCTTGCCTGAAGAAGCCTTTTCTATTGAAAGGCGGTTGTGATTATAGATATGCAACTGCATTTTGCAGGATTTCGATGGACAGGCTTTGAAAGAAGCTTGTTCTGGGGACAGGTGCTTCAAGTTCTGGTGGTTTTGAACGGGGCCTGTGGCCTGTGAACCGCTTGTACGCGGGGATGTTACAAGTATCTCATGGGGAGTGCTCAGGGCTTCTATATGGAGACGGTTTTGAGGGGCTTGCGGTGTGGAGTAGACCCCTGATTAGTACGTGTTTTGCTCTGAATGCAAAGCTTTGAGTTTCGGGTGTCGGGCTTGTTGGCTGTGTTTTGTGCTAGCTAATCCGGAGGGTCGGGTTCAGGGCACAGGCTTGCTGCAGAATATCAAACGCCCGTGCTCCACAGTATCTTGCATTGGTTCCTGGTGGTGGCAGTAGCAGCAGCAGCAGTAGTAGCAGGAGCAGTGAGCAGGAGCAGGAGGAGGAGCAGAAGAAGCAGAAGCAGGAGCATTAGCAGTAGCAGTAGTCGCAGTAGTAGCAGTGGCCGTAGGAGTAGGAGAAGAAGAAGTAGCAGTAGTAGTAGCAGCAGAAGTAGAAGTACGAATAGAAATAGGAATAGGAATAGAAACAAGAGGTAGGAGCTGTAGCAGCAGGAGGAGCAGGAGCAGGAGCAGGAGAAGGAAGAGGAGGAGCGGGAGCAGGAGAAGGAGAAGCAGTAGTATCAGCAGAATTCAGAAGCAGTAGCAGTAGCAGGAGCACTAGCAGGAGTAGTAGAAATACTAGCAGTAGTAGCAGTGGTTTAGACTCCCGACTGCTTTAGCTGCGAGTGTCAAACCTTGCAAGGCAGATCTGATTTCTTGGCGCCTGCTTGGAAAGCCAGCTGCATAGCAGATCTGCCGTCCTCACAGAGACCACGCCCTAGAAAACCCCTATATAAGCACGGGTACACCTTTATGCGGCACTGCTGATGGGCAAAATGCCACATTACCCAGAAACTCCGATATCCATTCATGAAGGAATATACCTGAAGTTATAGTAGGATCCTAAACATGGTTTAAAGTGTATTCCTTCCTTCATTGAGGGGTATGATCTTACCCATTTTTGAGGAGCGGGAAGTCAACTAGCTTGGCCTTCTCAGGATAACCTCGAGTGTTTCCATCAGCTACGGTTTAGGGGTTAGGGGTTAGGGTTTAGGGATTAGGGTTTAGGGATTTAGACCCATGGTGAACAAACACTGGATCTTTAAGGTCCGTGTCCATATGCCTAATGGGAAACTCAACTTGAGATGCCACAAGTTGGGGGTTGTTTAGCCTTTCCGTTTTTGCGTGAGCGTTGTGGCTTGTTGTTTGGGTCGGCTTTAGAATCAGAATGGGATGTTGATGGCATCTTATAGCAACATTGCATTCATGAGCCCTAAGGGGCAATGTTGGTTATACTATAGTCCAACACCCCAAACCCCAAAACCGGGACTCTCAAACTCTAGATCCCTAACCGTCAATCCTGAGTCCTAGAACTCAAAGACCCTCGAACTACGACCTAAATCCTGAATCCTGATTCCCACGAACCATAGCCACAGCCCTGCTCGAGGCTGTATGAACCCAAACCTTCAAATCCCCCTGCAGACCCATCACCACTTCAAAGGTTAGAAACACCGTTACAAAACCATACAAACCGCACTTGCGAACATGCATTCCGCAAGGCAAGCAAGGTATGATTATGTTGGGAGGCCTCAAGAATGGCAAGCATACACCAAAAAACGCAGCGATCAAAACACTGATAAAGAGCCCCTATAAACTCGATAACACCCTATAAAGCCTTGAAAAGATCCCTGCTGAACCCTCCTTTTATCATGGGCAGAGGGAGTCCGTCCTTCAGCCGCGACGAGTCCGCTCCGGCGTTCAGCAGAAGTTGGACGACCTCTACATGTCCTGTCAGCACTTTAAAGGTCACGATTTGGGGCGTTTAGGGTGTAGGGTGGTTCGACACCCGTTCGGTGCTGCAGGTCAACAGGTCACCGAAGATGGCTCATTCTTCGATGTTCATGCTCAGATTTGCTATTTAAAGAGCACGTTGACATGTCAATAATGATGAAGACTCAGGGACATGGATAAGAATGCCTCAATCCTAGTCACAAACCCGCCCCTCGATTCTGAGCACAGTGATACTACGTCAGGACATGCCTTCTGCCGCTGCAGCAAGCAGGGGCGTCCATCCGTCCTGGCTGTAATGTAGGGGCCTTAATATTTAGAGTAGGGGTTTGGCGCCCACTGCACTACATATATTATAATTAGGAAACCCCACAATGCTATTAGTATGTATTTAGGCCCCTATAGTACGCGCGACATCTGTCTGTTCCAAACCAGAGTTTGCCCTTTCAGATGCCTACTGCTTTCCCTGGTCCAATGAAGTGGTGACAGAACGTACCCCGAAGGGTACATAAACTCCCTCTGCGCAGCTTGTACTGACGCCTCCCGATTCGAAAGTCTCAAGAGTATGATACAGCCTAAATTATGACATCTACATCTAAACCCTAAACCCCTAAACCCTAAACCAGTCATACTGACAGAACTCACGGGACTCACGGGCTTCGTTCTCATGGGGATCTTCGGCGTATGGGATAGTGTCCTGAGACGTCGCATCTGGATCCACGCTGTCCAGCAACCTCAGCATGGTCATGTATAGGGGCCTTCTATAAAGGGACAAGGGTTTTGGAGCTGCTGGTACCGTACTTCATACTTGGCACTGTAATGGAGTAGTAATTAGCACTCTTTGGGGCATAATTACTGTACTTTTCCTGAATTGGAACAAAGACTACATGGGTATCGTATCACCAACTACTCCGACCCCTGCCGGACCCTTTTACTTCGGCCAGTTGCTGGGATGGTGTGGGTTTCGAACTTACGACTGAGGGTTTGAACGGTTTAGGTGCTGCCTTTACACCAGACTCCAAAAGGTCCACCATGAACCCCCTTGAACCGTTCACACCATTAAACCCAGATCTCTAAACAAAAAACAGCGATTAACCATGTCCGTAACCCTGAATCGTAGAGCCTGAGCCGGAGCCTTTGCTGTTTGTCCGAAATAGCGCAGCACAGGCCTAGAGGGTTCCATACCGCCTGAATTCAGAAACCTCCCGTAGGGTTCAATTTACAGTCCATTTCTTGATTGAGGGGTATGGTCAAAGAACTCGCGAAAAGCCCCTATGACCCGACCAACACAACTCTGATTCTGAACGACACTTTGGGTTCTTACAATAATATATCATAATCAAAAACATGAATTCTCTGCAGCACCCTGCTCAGTAGTTGCGATGAGCGTTCCGGCCAGTCTGGCATGACAAGACAATTTGAACACGGTGCTGGGCTATGTTCTCGGATGCTTGAACAATAACAAGGAAGCCTCAGGAACAACAAGTGGTAATTCGTAATTCTTATCCCGACCCCTGTATATACGTTGTCCGCAGCCACGGTAGAAAGAAGTTCTCCTGATTCCTGAAGTTCGAAGGGTACTGGGCTCTTGTTAAAGAATCGAATTTAACTTACCATAAGAAGGGTCTATAGTAGATCATATGGTTTCCTTGATATGGTAAGTCTTACATCAGATTCCTTGCAAGAAGCTCAGCTTGAGGATGGCCTGAGGGCCTCTTATCGTGGAGGTAGCAATACTCAGAATAGGGCTTGGGGTTTAGCTTAGAGGGGCTTTTGTTCCCTACCATTCCCAAAGACCCTCTTACGTCTTTGAAACGAAAATTGTTAGGCCTCTGTATTCCCGCAAGCCGAGTCTTCCAAGGGTAAAAGGAGGGGCCGTTAATAAGGACCCCTAGGTATATACCCGTAATATAGTTAATTTAGCTATTATATACCCATTATCTATCCCATTATGGGGTAGGGGTCCCCATTAAGGGTCCCTCCTTTTCCCCTTTGAGATCTTCAGCCCTGGACTGGCAGATCGAAGCAGGACTACACGTAGTTTTGAGGTACCGTCCGGGGGGTTCGGGGGTTTCGCCCCCCTGTGCTCTTATATGTTGAACCCTTCCCCACGAAATTCTCTGCTTCTAGAACCGAAATTCTTATGCATGAATGTGTAAACCCTAAACCCTAGACCCTAAGCCTTCAAACCCATAGACATGAAACCCGAACCCCGAATCCTTAAAGCCTCACCCTTTCTTGCCTTCACCGCGAAAGTAGTAGTAGTATTGGTCCCCGAAACCGAGATGTGGCCCTGACAAAAGTACTTCCTGCGCCGCGCCGCTCCTGCGCAGGTTTGCACGCAAGTGAGGTATTGGGTCTGGGTTTCGGGGCTTACTTGGAGGGTCGGGGGACTTACTAAGTAGTTATTTTAGAGAGTTATAAGTACCATAACCCCAATTAGGGTCCCTTTTAGGGTACTTATAGCTCTACTTATTATCTACTTACTAAGTACCCCGACCCTCCAAGTAGTATATATTTGGTTTCAGGGATTGAATTTGAGGCAGCCTCAGCGTCGGTACTACTCGGATTTCTCATATGGGAGTTTCCGAAATTAGGGGACACAAATACAGTACCCTAAATAGTAGGATCCTTATTATAAGGACTTCAAAACAAGGTATCCCTAATTTTCAATTCCTCTCATATAAGTCCTTTCAAAAGATGTCTAGGAGTTGGATCCACCGTTGGCATGCCCAGCTGGAAAACCATAATTATGGCTTTGCTGGACCTAGTTCCATATTGGTAGTAGAACCTGTCCATGCAAGCCATGGCCAGGACGGCACAAAGCTCTCGGATTCCACCAGTAGCACTTCTGCTGAGTGTCCGGTCGCAATCGCAGAGGATCCGGTTGATTCCAGATTGAAAATCTCTTCTCTCCCAAAGACTCCAAGACCTAATTAAGGAATACACCTTAAACCACACAATGGTCCTACCATGATTTATGGAATATTCGTTTGTTACGTGGGGATTTTGGAGTCTCTGGGTTCTTCAGGATGATTAAACAGTAGCAGCCCGTATTCTCAAGTACGATGCGATGGTAAGCAGCACTAGGACGTCCGAAACAGTTCATTGGGTCCAGACGGGCTCAACGACACGGGGGCCTGCATACTAAGTAAGATGTCTCCTTACAGTTCCTCTCTACTATACATACACCCCGAAGACCCAGCCACTCTAATCACTAAGACCCCTGTAGTCGCGTTGGGGGCGACCGCCTCAGATGAAGCTACGCCCAGAACGCTGACAGCCACGGGTCCTGGCAGCCGCAACGAATTGCTCGGCCTGGGCCAGAGACCTCAGACAAAACATCAAAGAATGAAGCCCAAAGCACTGACGACCCGTGTTCAACATTGGGGGCCTCAGCGATGAGAATAGGGTTTTTGGGGAGGTTGTACTATAACTACAACTATAAGTGACTACTTCACTTGATGACATACTGTTCACACCGCTGAATTAACAATTAGCATGCTCGTGGATTCAGACCCCTATGATTTGCGAGCAGGGTGAATCGCGCACAGACAAGTACACTCAAACCGTACCCTTCTTCGGGTTGCGGGCTGAATCCAGGGGTCAATCTAAAGGGAACTCCAGAAAGTTGGAATATGGATTAATGGTAGGATCCCCTATAATTTACCTTAAAGGGGTTACGATAATGATATTCCAACTTTCTGGCTTCTACTCGAGAGGGTTGAAACAGGAGTGCAGGAAAGCCCACGTAGTGGTCCCTGTCGACTTTGTGCTGGACTCAGGAGTTTTAGCTTTTGGGATACTAGACCCAAGAGTAACCTAGGAATAAAAAGGGTGCCCTTTTTGGGATAAAGGGGGTTATAAGGGAACCTAAACCCTTAAAAAGGGAATAAGGGCCTACTCTGGGTCCTATGATTGAGAATATAGGGGCGTCCAGTTCGACTGCAAGAAGTGGACCATCCACATCTATGTCTATGTTGAATGTTGTCGTGATCACGCACCACTCAGATGCCGCATAGGCACTATCGGAAGCACCGCGGGTCCCGGAATCCTCGACGAAGAGCTGCTGATCGGCTTATGCTGGAAGCTGTTCAGTCCAATCCGGATTTGATGAGGAGGACGATAACAGAGCTGGAAGCTCGTTCCTCCTTGAGCGTAAAGGTGGCAATTTCGCACGGGTTTATGGCGGCCAGCTCGCGAGTAATATAGGGGCCTTAATAATTAGAATAGGGTTTTGGGCCCCATTCTTTTTAAGAAACCACCAAAATAGTATAGGTAATTATTAAGGTCCCTATATTATCTCCTAGCGCTGCACCTTTCACGTTCTCTTACCTTCTCCCTCTTCTCCTGCAAGCAAAAAGACCCTCTCAGCCAAAGCTTCCGAGTATTGTCGTCACGGCCAATACAAATGCGGACAGGTAGCCCGTTGTGAGGAAATTGAATTGCACAGGGCCCTCAATCGTAGCTCTAATAGTGATACAAACCGTTATAAACCTCTTAGACGCCTCTCCACCCTAAACTCTAAACCCTGAAGTCCTAATCCCGAACCCTGAAGCCCGAAAATCCTATACTACAGGGGCCTACATCGAACATACAAACTCTGCCTTATTCCTTAGGCATGAGGTCTCCTTCATAGAACTTTCGTCGACTTGTCTAACATACCCCACAACCCTATGTTGGGAGTTTCCGAAAATTAGAGGTACCTTTTTTGGGGGGTCATTATAGTAAGGATACTTCTAAATTGGGTACTATATCAGGGCCCCCCATCATGAAGGCCCCGACTATGAACCTTGCAGTTAATCCACAATAAAATCTTGCACTAACTAGCACTGCCTCTATCTTTCGAATTCTGTTTAAGGTCAGAGGACTTCTGAACAGAATGGCAAACAGCGATAAGATGGAAGTGGGAATACATGACAATGCTGTTCCTTGATTAGCGCTTCATAAACTATATACACCGAACCCTATTGACGGGTTTTGTTTTAAATGTGAAGGCATCTAAAACCCTAAACCCCTAAACCGACAAACCCCACACACCGAACCCCTAAACTCTAAAGCCCCAAACCCTACGCCCTACACCCATAAACCCTCAAACCCCTACTCCCTAAATCCCTAACCCTTAACCTCCAAACCCAAAACCCTTGAGTCCTAAACCCTTCTCAAAGCGGTGAGTTCAGTGCTGTGGCTTCATCTTCGGGGCGGTGGGGTTTCAAGGCTCGGGAGGTTTGGGGTTTAGTCTTAGGGTTTAGGGTTTAGGATATAGGCCAGTACAGGCTTCAGTGTTCGGGGTTTATATTGATTCGTGAGTACCCCGCCAGCACGCATTGCTGTTGCTGAATCATCGCCCCTAGAAAAGGCATATTCCAAGAACCATATTCAGTGGATCCTGGCGCATGGTCGCGATTCAAACACCGCTTTCAAACCCCAACCTCTGAATCTTGAGGAGTTTTGGGTTTAAGAACTTAGGGTCTGGGGTGTGAGGGCTTCGTGGCTTTAAGGCTGCGACGGCCGGGCACGGCTCGGTACTGCCTTTCTCGAAGGGTTTCGTGGGATATTGTTCCACAATGATGTAGGGATGTTCAACCAAACAACCTGACTAGGTTTCCTCATATGCCCAAAGTACAGCCAACTTAAACTGTCCTGAGCTGTCCCAATGTTCAGAAACCTACAGTCATTCCCATCTAAGCCTTTGATGCCCACATCAAATCACGTGCAACCTCAAGCAAACATGGATGTCCTTCGAATCCCCCTCCGCCCACACACGAAGAACCAATGTAGCACACTCGGCAAAATCAGGTGGTTAGTAGGCCCGTAGTAGTAGCCCTATTATAGACTGTAACTGCATGAAACCAGTACCCCAATGGACGAATGAAGTTCAAAAGTACACAAATCCCATATGTGCATAACGACATGTGGAAACAGTACACTGTGCGTCAGCCGACGAGCAAGTAGGCAGTACATGCAGACGTACATGCATGCATGCCTATGTCATCTGTAAACCCAAAGCCCCTAAACTTGAAACCCCGAACTTCGCCTAGCCATTATATTGCTCTGGGCTCCTTCTTGTAACTATTCTGTAGTATAACCCCCCAGACCCTAATTCTAACAATCCCATCAAGGCGCCTATATTCAATCCTATCAAACCCACAAAAACCGAACCCAAGAGCTCTCCACCCTAAAACCCGAATGATTAAGCTCATTTCCGCCACATTGTTGCTATTAAGAGCATTGAATATATTCATGGAGAAAAATCCAGGTTCCTGAGTAGCCTCTGTATAACTAGTGCACCCTTGCTCCCATTAACCATTATTCGGTTTTGGTACCGGGGCCCTGAAATAAAAAGGGCAAGAGGGTACTACTCAGGAACATACTGTTGATGGACAAAATCCTGCACTACCCGTTATAAGGAATATACCATAATTCCCATAGTTTAGAGTCCTTAAGGTAATGCAGGATTTTGTCCATCAGCAGTAGATCAATGGAGAGTACTGCACCTGCCGTGGCGGCATGGCTTCCCAAGCGCCGAAAGCTGCTGCTGTGGGTTTTTGTGTCTTTCTTTGAGGGGCTTCCTGCTGGGGTTGTAAGTGTTCGGGCTCAACAGCGGCTGTATGACTCAGCCTGGATACTCCTTCAGAATTAGATTAGGATTTTGCGGGCATGATATATTAATAGTTATAATAGTCATAATATTAACTAGTATAATGATCTACTTCAAGGCCCTTCAATTTCTGTAGAGTAGACTCTCGGCTTTAGCGCTTCGGGGTCCGGTCTTTGCGGAGTTTGGTGTCCGTAGTCATTGGGGCTCCTGGGGCCACATCCCTGGCTGCGAGCCGACCATCACAGGACAGAGAACATAAAGTGTATAGTTGTGGATTTGGGGTGCAGGCTTTAGGGCTTCGGGTTGAGGGTTTAGGGGAGGATTTGGGGTGTAGAGTTGAGAATTCAGGATGTAAAGATTAGGGTTTGGAGTTTGTGAAGCTAAAGTTTCGCACGAGACCTGCGCCAAGACTAGTACAGAGGTTGGAACACTCATGGGGTTCTTACTGCTATGGTACTATCATATACAGCATAATGTGCCCCGTAACCCTATCGTTGTAATTCAGGCCTCTCTCTTACTTCAGAATGGTTGCCACATGTCACAGTTCTATCGAGCACCCTGTGAGACGTCACTCACATACTTCGGTCCCAGAGAGGGGATCGCGACTTTCGCTTCGAAGTGCCTCCCGTGGTCTCCCCAGAATACCCCGAGCTGAATACGACTACCTTTTACAAGGATCTGAAGAAAAATGCAAGCCCGAATTGCTGGGGCCATGTCAGCACCCTCCACGACGAGGAATAGAACAAAACCCCATACCCCAAAACCCTAAACATCCCTATACCCTGGACCTCACGCTGCTCGAGGGTTGAGAAGCTTCTGCAAGTGGTGGCAAGGGCCGCATCAGTGTTTCTCGTGGCCCCTCCGTAAGCCGGACTTGTTGACTCAGTGCTTAAAGGATCATGGAACTTAGTAACTAAGGACGTAATTAAGGTAACTATACTTATAGCCCCGAATAAGGTACTTTTAACCTTACTTACTAAGTCCCATGATCCTCCAAGTGACAGGAGACCCGCCAGCAACTTGGGCACCGCAAAGCCGCAAAGCGCACTCGGACGTTCCTTTGAAGGGCTCTATAAGGGTTCAGAGTTTCCGAAAAGAGGGGACCCTAATAGACTGTTGACGATATAAATCCTGCATTACCCATAATTAGGAATATACCATAATTAATTCTCATAGTTTAGGATCCTTAAGGTAATGCAGGATTTTTCTGTAATCAAAAGTAGTACCCTAACTAGTAGGATCCTTGTGCCAGTGTAGTGCGGCGCGACCTCGAAGAAGGAACGACCCGCTGGGGTCGGTCTGCGGCCATGTTTTTCCCCAGGCGGAAAACTTGCCGTTGGTCAGTAGGGAATGGAAGAATGGTAGGAATAGTAGTTATAATGGTACCCCATTCCTCCATTCCTTACTAACCAAAGGTAAGAAAAGGTGCATACTGAGGAGGGTTTTTGGGGTGTGGAGGCCATGGTTTAGGCTTGCCCAGAGATCCCAATACCCAATTAATTAAGGAATATCCCTTAACTCATAATATTAAGGCTTCCATAATTTAAGGTATATTCCTTAATTAAGGGGGATTGGGTTCTCTGGGTGGGTTGCAGGGTGATTTAGGGTTTCGGCTCGCCGGCCTTGAGGGTGAAAGGTTGCAGGGCACCAAGAGCTTTGCAAAGACCAGCCCCAAAGAGGGAACGCAGCAAACCTCTCAGGTGGATCGAGCTTGGGGCTTGGGCTTTGGCATTTTGGGCATGGGGTTTAGGGTAGTGACGTCGTATAACAGAACTTAACAAATTCTTCTTTTCAAGGGTTAAAGTCGGTTAAGGTTTGTTGTTTTGGATTTGGGGGTTTGCGATTTCGGGTTGTGCAGAGCCCCAGATTTCAATGAGTCAAGCTGGGGGTTCTAATCAGTTTGCCTTCTGGGGAGGCAAACAAGCCCTACCCTTAAACAGCACTCGAAGTCATGATTGTAACTATGTATCATGTACAACTTCCACGACTGACCCACCCTGTAAGACGAAACCCCTGAAGAGGATACCTTTACCGATGTTTTCCAATCTGTAATAGAGAAATATAGAGAATGTCAGTCAGAGGGTGGACCAGGGCGGGCGATTCAGAGAGGTAGCATACGATAACCCGACCCTCGCGTGCTGCGAGGCGGTCTGCACACATCCAAGCCTGACTACTCGCTAGGATCCTGAGCAAGAAACCCTGGGCCTAAAACCCCAAAATAGTAGGATTCATATAAGGAGCTCGAATCAAGGCCCAACGTTTCTTAATCAGGTCCTACATTAGCCTTGTTCCTCCTACTCAGCCACTAGAATATCACTTTAGATCATGTTCGACTCATGCTTTGTGAACCCTTGAACTGAAATCCAAGTCTATCAAAACGTGCCCTCCAGCTCTACATGCTGCTTCGAGGACGAAGCACTTATTAAGTGGGATACAGGACTGAAGCCTCCAGCCGAGTTTATGTTTAGGGCTTTCTCCGTCCATGGCCTTACCCTCAACCTCCAAAAGGTTTATCGCACGCGGTTTTGCTCCTTCTGCGCGGGAAACTTCGATGTAGCAGAAGTTAAAGAGCTAAGTTTCCCGGACCTCAGAAGGATCTCGAAAGTAGATGGCTTGAGTGATTTTCCTATAGGTTAGCCCGCGGGGTAGCCCATAGGAGTGGAAAAGGTACCGAGTTCCTATAACTATACTGAGCGCTAAATCCTTAAATTGGGGGTCTCTCTACTTTCTTGATCCTTTCTGGGGTCTGGGTTAAAGACTTCGGAAGCCTGGTAGCCCGGGCGCTCGGGTTCAGGGTCTCAGAATCAATCTCTTTCGACTTGGCATGCCGTAGTGGAAACCGAAGGAACTTTTAGAGGACAATGCAGGGGCCTTAATAATCACAATAGGGTTTGTGGGTCCATCATACTATAGCTACAATAAGGAACCCCAAAATAGCTGTGATAATTTTTGAGGCCCCTATATTAACTGGGCAACGGGTTCAGGACTCCAGGCAGGCGCACAGCACTCAGGAGTGCGGCTTCTTGACTTGAGCAACTACCTGCTCCAACAGCTGACCCATGCCAAACCTCAGCGCAATTGAGGAGAACTGAAGGACCTTAAGGTAATTCTGCATATAGTTGCCTCATTTATAACCCTCTATACTCAGGCACATGATCTTTTTAGTAGAGTGTCATAGGGGCGTTACGGAGATCGTCCGGAGTTTGAAGTCTAGGGATTGGGGCGATCTGCAGTCCTGGCGAGAGTTCCTGCGAGCATTGCAGTATGTGTTAAATGTGCTCAGCTCTTGCTATTGCTGCGTGGTCCAGGCTTTAGGACGCCGCGTGTATGCACACCGTCATGTCCGGTGTGTGCAATGCCTTTGTGGTTGCCGTGATTGCACACAACTCTGCCGACTTCTTTTGATGTATCGAATACTCATGTTCTCCCCCGCAAAATTCAACTCAAGTTCATAATTAATTATGAGGTCCAAAGGATCCTTCGCGGTACTGCTTCTTAGCGTGACTGTCGGAAATTCTTGCTGCAGTTGCTGTCGGGGAGGGCTGTTTCGGGTTTAATCTCCAAAGACGGATGCTGTTTGCTCACCACCCCCCCACACACACACAAACAGTCGAGAACCCCCTTAATCCTAAACCCTACCAAAGCCTGAAGAACAGCTTTGACTGTGGCTTACATGGAAGCCATGCATTCCGGGAAGCTCTGAGCCGTCGGTGAGGACCCAAACCTCGTCTGGGATAGACTGTCCAGGCACCTCCGAGGATTTAGTTAGGTTTTAGGGTAGCCTGTGAGGGTTCTAGAAGGGCTCTAGAAGTACAAGGTCCACAAGTTTTGGGTCTAGGGCCTAGGCTTTTGACGTTTCGGCAGCTAGCCTGCTACGGCTTGGGGGTTTCTTTTCAATCCTTTTCAACAGGGTTCCAGGCGCACTTCTACAGGTTCTATACGAGCCTAGAACGGTCCTACTGGGCTTCCACAAGTTCTACAAAGTCTGTTATAGAGTTTTCTTGACGTTTAGGGGTTTAGGGTCCAACACATGGAGAGCCCTCCACAGGGCCTCTTATAGTTACATACTTGGGGGGTAAAGACAGCTGTTTCCACGGGTTGAAGGGCTCTTTTACGCTGCATGGCTTTCAGTCAGGATGTAGGGTTTAGGCTTTGTTCTGCTTGCGCCTGCAAAGGGGCCCCATCTCGTGCATTCATCCCCTGTGTGGGCACATGAATATTGCCATGGCCAGCAAAAGTGTACCAAATACATGTTCCAACTTGCTGGAAGTACCTGCAAACATTGGCCTAAACCCTCAGCCGAACACCCAAAACCCAAAACCTAAAACCTAAACCCTCAAGGCCCTCAACCCTAAACCCAAAACCCCAAACCCTCAACCCCATCACGAGGGCCCTCCCGGACTGGACCTCTTCCACACGGACCCAATCACCTGCACGTTCCTTGGCACTGCAGTAGGCGATGTCTCCTCCACCATCGGAGCTGGAAACTTAGGTGAGTTTGTGAAGCCCGAAAATCCTAAAGCCTAGAAACCCTATCATGCCCAATAGAAGCATAAGCAGGCGATGTCTCCTCCACCATCGGGTGAGAGGGAGAGGGAGGCACAGCAGCAATTGGTTAGAGGGTCAGGAAACTTGTATAGTAAGTTGGTGAAAGCCTCACCCCCCCTTAAAGCCGGTAGAACTACAAGTGGGATAACCCCGCGCAAACCTCGTCTTGCACGCTTCCAGTGGCTTGAACCCGAAAAGACCTCTTAAACAAAGGAACACAAATGGTCCTACATTGCCGATAGTTAACAACCTTCCTGAGCAGTTGAGCAAAAACACGCGATGCTACCCAAATCTCGATTATACGGCTGACCTTTTTCTCCAGTCACGTTAGCAAGTAGGAAAAACCACGCATGTGCTTGTACA